TTTAAAATTATATAATTTCGAACACTGAATTTCATTTAGTTATAATTTTACTTCCTTCGATTGTTATAGTAGCTGACTCAAACATATCTTAAAAACATTCTATTGACAACTAGTCTTTAAAATGCCAATGTATGGATAAAGGAGTAAGTGCTTGTATTTTTTTATAGTAGATAGATACGTGCTTGTGGATATAATTTTATATTTATTGTGAAGCACGAATTTGAACAAAAGAAGTAATAAATAAAAGGTTAAGTCAGACGTCAACACAAAGAAAGGAAAATGGGGGGAAAAACGCAAGTTTAAAAATACTGAACAACTTAATGATTACAGTTTCTCATATCAGCCTCAAAACAATGAACATATTGCTTCAAAGGATACATCTTTTAAAACATTAAACAATTATGTTAATCAGGAAACATGAAATTACCACACAATTCCATTAGAAGAAAACGCATAAAACTAAATACTCTGCAATTTTTAGAAATTAGTAAAACCCCTACGGAAGGTGTCCCAATTGTAAATAAGGTAACCTATTTCTATGTATCTCCGTTATTAGATTAGTACATATTTCAAATAATAGCATTATTTCACTAGCAAATTTTGTTCAGAAGGTGCATCATACTCTTTGAAATTGGTTTAGCCGTCGAAACAATTTTCAGAATTTTTTAATAGGTACCTAAATTCATTAAACACAAAACCAAGTGCTTTAATCAGAACTTTATGTTTATCGAAACCACCAAATGCTGATTGCGATTTCAAACTTATTGACGTATTAGGCGCCATACCTTACATAGTTTTGTTATACGATAGTCCAGGCAATATATCCTGATTAAATTCTTTTACCAATTTTGTTTGGAAGATTCTCTTGAATAGAACGATATAGGATGCCCGGTCGGGTATTTTATAAATCTCGATTGTTTAAACAAATGCCAAAAAAATAACTTTTCTTTGGGTTAAATTTCGGTGACAAAGGTCTGAAGTTTTTTTTTCGAGTTATGAATTTTTGAAAGTGTCAATATATATGAAAATCGCCAAGTTTGGTCCAAGATTGTTAAATTTTGATTCGAGATTGACAACCAATATTGGACCGATAATGGCAAACGCTTGATATGTAACTTCGGCACAAGCGTGGTTGCCAAACTTGGTCCGCGACTAATAATAATAATGAATCAGATAACGTTTTCTTTACATCCTTCTATCCTTTAAAATGTGTGTACATAATTAATTAAAGTACATTAGGTCACATTAGGCTTCCTGTCGCCTGCACTCTTTGTCTAAAGCATCTTGAACGTCAAAACGTCACAGTAAAGTAAAACAAACAAAATTACAAATGCGGTGCTAGTCATCTCAGCCAGTATGCATGTTTATATGTATATTTAGCTTTAACACTCGAAGTTTGACCGAAGTTTGGTCCAGTATTGCCAAATCCATATATGACCGTCCAGTGTTGTGCCAAAGTTGGCGGAACGTTAATTATCCTAGCCTCACCACTTGACAATTAACCGAACTTTAATTAGTATTGACAGGCCAATGCTTAACTGCACCTGTGTTGGACCAAACTTAACGAAACGTTATCGTACCTAGTCCCGGTATGTGATAATTGACCAAACTTTGGACCAGTATTGTCAAACACATAAATTGCCAAACACATACTTAGCTGCCCAATACTGGACCGAAAATAACTAAAAGTTATTGTCCTAGCCTTGGTGTTTGAAGATTGACCAAACTTTGGACCAGTATTGCCAAACACATAAATTGCCAAACACATACTTAGCTGCCCAATACTGGACCGAAAATAACTAAAAGTTATTGTCCTAGCCTTGGTGTTTGAAGATTGACCAAATTTTGGGCCAGTATTGTCAAACCCATACTTGGCGAAAAATTAATAAACCTAACCTTGGCACTTGAAAGCTGATCGAACTTTGGATCAGAATTGACAGGCCAATACTTGGTTTCCCCAGTGTTGGACCAAACTTAACGAAACGTTACTGTACCTAACCTCGGCATTTGATGATTAGTCGAACGTTGGGTCAATACTGGAAAGGCAATACTTGATTTTCCACTATTAGTCCAGATTTGGGACTGTCGTCAATATTGCTATTACTCGGAAAAAGTGGGGAAAATCTTCGATGCTCGATTTTAATGACGGACGAACGTACTTACGAGCTTGTATGGAACCTTCGGTGCGCGAGTCTTATTTGCACTTCGCAAAAGAAATATATGTGTTATTTCAAGTAATATTTCTAAAAGTTGACCTGCCAACACGTATATATCAAATTGCAATCTAAATCTGTTGGTTTCGACTAATAATTTATCAAAAACTGTTTTTTATTTTATTTTTTTGTTATTGTTACAAACTATAACTCATTATTATTAGAAGACATTTACTTTTGCTTAGTAGAAGTTCAAGTAGTAGTAGAGGCTGTAACTCTATATATTATTTATGTATATATGTGTGTGTATTTTTTATAAAAGAATAAATAGTCAGCGATGGATGATTTAGAGCCTGTTATTGAAAATATTCTTTTAAGAAAAGGTTTTTGGATGGCCTTAGATATTCTCATTGGTAATAATTCGAGAAAAACAGAACGTGACGTCATGCGTGATGTCCGATGCTGGGTTGATAAATTAATGAAAAAAAGAAATGCTAAACGCATAGATCACGATGCCATTTCAGAAACGTCCAGAAAAAACACTAATAAACTCGGGGACGTCAATAACTTGCAAGAAAGGATTAAAATTTTTTCCAAGGCATCAAGTATTTACCAAGTTTACTTCAGGTAAGAGATATATGTGTGATAAAAATATCAAATGCTTAAAGGTGGTGCAGTGGGCATGCCTTAAGAAAGTTTAATTATATAATATTAGTCAAACCCGTCTACATTTCGACGGATGAGTATCGTTATCCATGGTTGGTAGCGAAATCATATTTCAATCATACCATAACGTAATCTATCATTCAAATATTTAGTGTATAGATAATGAAAGCCTGCTGAAAAAGTTCATCAAATTTAAATTTTTAAGCAGCATAAATCAGCTATTTGTAAAGATATTTCAATATATTTTTAGATGCTATTTATTGAAATTGATTTCCTGTGTGTTATTTTAATAAAATCTGTCATTTCGAAGGCAAGTCTCCGAAAGATGTGCATTTTTGATATAATATGCATATTTGTGCTGCGAATAAAATGATATAAAAATTAACCCCCAAATGTAAAGGGGTGGTGAAAAAAAAATAAAAACACCCCAAAATAGTTTTTTACGTTTTTCTTGAAAATCAAAAAAGATAACCTTCGCATTTCACCAAAACTAGAACAGCCCACATCCTTAACTATTTACGAAAAGTAATCTAATCTAGGTATATTTCTACTCCTCTTAACTCCTGTTTCTGCCTCTAATATGCCTCAGACTAGCTCTTCATGTCTGAGAAGGTGTCCTACCTATCTCACCTAATTTTTATTGACTTCCATATTAATTTGCTTATTCATCTGTTCTCAGTCTATCAGTCTCATATCTGTCAAGATCATATCCAGTTTGCACGTCATCGTCAGGTTACTTACTATTTCCGTAATCACTTCGCCTGCTACTTTCTGACTGGGGAATGTGGCGACCTATTCTCTTTAAGTTATTCAATAATTCTCTCCTTTTGCAGTTTTCTCTTTATACGCCGTAGGTTTTGTCGTTTACTTCTCTGTTGACGTTTGTACAGTTTTAGAATACATATGTGTGCCAATTTCACAATTCTTACTAAATAGCTAAAATAGAAAATAACTTCCTCCCCGATTTGTTTTTCTTTTTCTTAGATGTATCCTCGATTGATTTTGCAGATCCGACTGTAAATGGATACTTCTTCCTCTTAGGAGTCTTCCTCTATGCTTTCTTCTTTTCTGAATTCTTACATGCCACCTTGCTACTGTGTTAAAAGGTACATTTATCACCACAGCGACATCCTTGCGTTGACTATAATTTTTATTGTAATTAACGAGTCCAGACGCGTCCCCATCAATACTTGAGCCATGATGCAATTTTAAAATTTTACTAGGAATTTGTGTTGTTTTTCCATTGCTGCAATAACCTGTAAATCATCTTTCCAGGCAGAACGAATTCCTAACGCACTGTCAGTGTAGTTTGCTTTCAGGAGTCGTTTTGGTGCCTTTAACTGGTTCAGTTGTTTCACTACGCAGATAGCTAAATGATGATAGGTTGTTATGCAAAGGTCAGATGTACTCATTAAACGGATAAATGGATTAATACCGAATTTCAGACGATATATCGATAGCAAAATGTACTCCTTAAAAATAATGAGCGGTTACTTCAATCATAATGGAGTGCATTAAAGTAGCAATTCAGAACAAATTGAAATCTTTAAAAGGATCCTATGTCATTTAATTTTACTAAAAGAGATCAGAAATAAAAATTTGGAAATATGGAAACGTAGATTTAATCTTGAAAAGGTTTAAGAACACAGCGTGACTTTTATACTAAGATATGAGTAGGAGAAAAGATTACAGAAAAGTATAATTGCCGGAAAAAGGATATATGAAAACTAACTGACTATATAGGACGACAAAACAGAAAGTAATATATACCAATAATAAGCAGGAAAATAAACCAGTAAAGTAACGAAAACATATTTGATGGAAGGTGTAGTTTGAAAATTTAGAATAAACGAAACGAAAGTAGGAAACCCTCGATGACAAATGAGATTTTAGGATTATTAGAAGAAAGGCGGAAATACAAAAACAGGATATACGAAGAAGGGCTAAAAAGATATAAGGCTATAAAGTAGGAAATAATTAGGAAGTGTAGGGCAGCTAAGGAACGGTGGATTGATAGGATGTGTAAAGAATTAGAAGAAAAGTTTGAAATAGATAAGGCTTATGGTATAATTAAATGGAATTTTAGAGATGTAGGATACAGTTGTAATAATATAAGAAAGGATGCAGGAGTCATTTTGATAGAAAATGAGGAAAAGGCAGATAGGTGGAAAGAATATTTAGAGAACCTATACGCAGGCCATGAAGTAGGAGGTATATAAGAGAAGGAAGATAGTGTGAAGATAGATGAGCTAGGTTATCCAATAATAAGAGAAGAGTTCGATGGCGTAATAAGGCGCCAGGTGTAGATGGGATGCAGAGGGAAATTCTAAAAGTCCCAGAGGATTATAAACGGAATGTGGTAGTAACATTACCTAAAAAGAGGGGCACGGATAGGTGCGAGACATTTAGAACAATTAGCTTAACTACCCATACGTCAATAACCTTAACTAGAATTGTACAGAGGAGGATGGAAAAAAGGGCGGAAGAACTATTAGGGAGAGATTAATTTGGGTTTAGAAGAAATAAAGAAACGAGGGAGGCCATTCTTGCTTTACGGGTAACAATAGAGAAAACGATAGAAAAAAGAAAGAAGGCGTACATAGGATTTGTAGATTTAGAAAAAGCATTTTACAATGTTAAATGGGACAAGATGTTAAATATACTTAAAAATGTAGGGATTAGTTACAAAGATAGAAGAGTGATACTTAGTTTGTATAAAGAGCAACAGACAGTTATAGAGCTAGGGCTGCAACGTAGANCAAGCCTTTCCTTTACCTCAATGTAGAGTAAAATAATTGTAATTTTAATAAATATTGTAAATGAAATTTTAAGAGTTCTAAATCTTATCAAATTAATTCCTTTCTTGCATACCTTAAAATTTCATCCTAATGGGGGAGGAGTTATCGATGTGAATGGATAGTAATCAGCGCGTTTCTCACACCGACAACTAATTCCCAATAATGTGCAAACTAGACTATTTCTTGTGCAGTATATAAGCTTTGTTTTAGCCTTCTTAACTAATTAATGTATTGTAGTTCACGTGCATGGCATATTGCTGTAATACTTAATTCGTGAACGGCAAGTTTTGTACTCTTAGTTGATAATTATAACAATTTTGAAGTTTGTTTTAAATAAAGTGTACATACAAATTTTGTTTATCTTTTTAAAAAGAGAAACTACCAACTTTAAGACAATTTATTGTAGGGACTTGAGCAGGTATCTGCAGGCTACACCAGCTGGCTTGAACGCACTTCGCCGCCGTATATCAACCGTTTCATCGTACAGCATTATAGGATTATAGCTGACAAAATTTTATGTTTACAATTAGAAAAATGAGCGTCTTCATAATGTGTAATCTATATATCAGGTCAACAGAATCAAACAAAACCAACCAGAAAATAGCAAATTACAAAAAATCCCGCGAAAATAAGGAAAAATCCTTGAATCGGGATAAATCCCTCGAAGTGGCAACACTGCGTAGAGGTTTCAAGTTGAAATTATTATCAAATACTGAGGTATGCAATCCCTTGTAGCTGTGAAAATTTCAAACTTGTAAATCAATGCAATCAAAAGATACGGCCTTTTATGCCGCATATTTTGACAAATCAAAACCTATAGGGTACTTCCCTTTGACCTAGAATTATGAAATTTGGCAAGAGGCCATGTCTTATAACACAAGTAGAGAAAAAAAAACGAAAACCGAGTATTTGAAGTTACATCACAAAAGAAGTTATTTTGTAATTTGTAACCGCTTGTACATCCGTACCACCAACATTTAGCAGATCAATCCCGGTTACTTCCGTAACTCGTTGTTATACCGCTCAGGAGGGCGCCACGCGTTGGACGACTCACCAACGCTACCCTACTCTCAGTACCACTATCCCTGGCAGTACCGCGCTGAGCTACCCCTACCTAGACAAGGGTGAATAAAAGGAGCTTCCCCTCACAGAATAGCCACAGAGAGAACTACCTTCAGCACCTCTAGCAGCTTTCCAGTTGATGGAACACTAGAGAAAAACTCTCCTTCCAGAAGCATTCCGAGATCGGAACCCTTGGCCAGTGCGTTAAGAAAAAATAACAATGGTAGTGATCAATGCGATTCATAGGACCTAGTGACGACTTGTGAAGATCAAAAATATTGAATGACGTTAGTTAGGGATAGACCCTTTTTTGGCTATTGGATTATTCATTCCACTACGGTTCTTCTGATTTATTTCGTATAAGTGATACCTGTTCTTTTTGGGTCAAGTTGGACTGTTTATTTATGACACGTATTTTTACTTATATTTTTTGTCTAGATTTATTTGTACAAAACTTCCTTTGATTAGCTGATTATGTATAAGTAATATTTGGAGATTCTTGAAGTCGCATTTTTTTTGTTTCACCTGCACAAATACGTTGGGCCCCTTTTATAATACCCTTCAGGGTAAGTAATAACCACCGGTGATCGCCTGGAAATACTAATTTTGGTGACTACGGTCATCACTTGGGAATTTGCTTGGGTATATGAGGGGTGTATAAGCGACGACGTGAGGACAGGTTCTAGGGGGGGCGGCCCTATTTGTATCGTGTAAATATTGTGCAAATAAAAAAAATAATGAGGGAAACCTGATACAAAGTATTATGATTTACCAAAAAACGTATATGGAGAAGTCACCGATATACTTCCACCACCGAACAATTGTAATTATACGTTTTGGGGACATTTTGTTGGAGAAACTTAAAAGATACTCGTACTAAGCGGGAGAAATCATCGATATTTGGTTCCTTTGACGGACGAAGTTTATACCATCAGTGCGCGGGTCAGTCTCGCACTTTTCTGTTTTTATTTACCACTGATAAGCTAAGCTTGTTTTACTTTACAGTTCAAAGATTTTGGTTCAGTTAGTTCAAGATAGGTTGGTGGGACACTTTCTCAGGCATAAAGGTATAGTCAGAAATATATATTAGAGGTAGAAAGG